ACACACACACACACACACACACACACACACACACAGTCTTAAGAAATAAAAATGAGAAATAAACAGAAGGAAGATTCTACTGAAAGGAAGTCAGAATATAAGAGTGTATTATTATGAGGAATTGGCTCATATAGTGTGGCTGAAAATGTGTGGAGGCCATGTACACAGCTAGTAGAGAATCACTGGAAGGCTGGAATCCCACAGGCATGAGACTGTTCACAGCATAGTCAGAAAACACTCAGATGGGGTGGGAAATCAGCTGTTGTTCCAGCTGCTGCTGCTGTTTGTTTTAAAAAAATATTTTAATTTGTTTTTAATGATGTATATATGTGCATATCTATACTTGTGAGTATGTTATGTGTGTGCAGAGGCCAGAGACTGATTCCTTCTCGAGCTGGAGTTAGCGAGACTGAACTTCCTGACCTCTCAGTAGGTGCTGGAGCAGCAGTATTCTCTGGGCCAGGAAGCCATCTGTCCAGCCCTGTTTGGCTTTTCACTAAGGAGATCCAGCCATTTCAGGCTTGATAAAACTCAGCTGATTGCGGACTGGAACGTTCAACTGAATAATTCTCAAGAGTGTGTACTAAGTAGCAGCTGCCAGCCTTCTAGTCTCTAATTTCCCTCTTAAAGGGAAACCCATATAGCTAGTGATTCACATTTGTAATCCTAGTGACTGGAAGGCTGAAACAGGAGGATTGCTGTGAGTTTGAGGCCAGTCTGGGCTACAGAGTGAGTACCAGGCCAACCAGAGCTACATGTCTCTTAAAAAAAAAGAAAAACAAAGCAACAAAATTAAAACAAAAACAAAGATGAAAGCATAGTAGAAAGAGAATTCTGGAGGTTGTAATTCACTCTATCTAAATAAACGTATCATAAGGTAATCACAGATGATAAAGCCTGTCTGGTAGAAGTGGGGGTGGGAATGGTATTATTTAAAGGGCTTTCTTCTACCTATTTATTTATTTTTAAATTTTTTGACAGGGTCTCACTATGTAGCTCTGGTTGTCTTAGAACTCACTATATAGATCAGGCTGGCCTCGAACTCACAGAGGTCCACCTCTTCCTCTGCCTCCCGAGTGCTGGGATTATAGGTGTACACTACCACACCCTGCTGCCTTTTGTAAAGAGGGTTTCTAGGAGCAACAGCGCTGTTGTGGTTAATCTAAAGAATGAAGTCTCAAGTATCTGGAAAATGTGTTCTCCTTGATGATGACACTGATGCTGACTTCCTCTTCCTCCTTTAGATTTATCTATTTTCATTTCATGTGTATGAATGTTTTCCTTGCATGTATGTCAGTGTACCATTTGTATGCCTGGTGTTCATGGAAGTCAGAAGGAGGCATGAATTCGCTGGAACTAGTGTTTCAGATGGAGGTGAACTACCATGTGAGTGCTGGGAGTGCTTTAACCCCCGAGCCCGGAGCCATTTCTTCAGTCCCTACTTCCCTACTTACCGATTCTTTTTTTTTTTTTTGGTTTTTTGAGACAGGGTTTCTCTGTGTAGCTTTGGAGCCTATCCTGGCACTCGCTCTGGAGACCAGGCTGGCTTCGAACTCACAGAGATCCACCTGCCTCTGCCTCCCAAGTGCTGGGATTAAAGGCGTGCACCACTAATGCCCGGCAACTTACCGCTTCTTTAGGGTCTGTGCTTACCCAGGCTTAGGTGTTCCTTATGACAGCTATGTTCTGTTTTTCTCTAGGTTACTTTTTGACATCACCCAAGATGATGTTTTGTTTCTGGCTTCACCTCTGACCTTCGATCCATCTGTGGTGGAAATATTTGTTTCTCTGTCCAGTGGGGCCCGTCTGCTTATCGTGCCATCTTCTGTCAAAATGCTCCCATCAAAATTAGCTGATGTTCTCTTTTTCCGCCACAGAGTGACTGTTTTACAGGTACACTTGAGTAGCAACAGAAACGTATTCTTCTACATTCCTCTAACATTGTATGTTTTAGACGCTCCTTTGTATTTAATTGGGGCTTACAATTCAGAGGTTTAGTCCATTGTCATGTTGGGAAGTATGGTGGCACTCAGGCAGACATGGTGCTGGAGAAGTAGATGAGAGTTCTACATCTAGATCAGCAGGCAACAGAAGACAGTGAGAAACTGAGCCTGGCTTGAGCATTTGAGACCTCAAAGCCCACCCCCAGTGACACACTTTCTCCAACAAGTCACACCTTCCCCAACAAGGCCACACCCCCTAGTAGTACCACTCCCTATGAGCCTCAAGGGGGGCATTTTCATTCAAACTACAGCAAAGGCTAATTTGTGCAGCCCAAATATTCCTGGATGTGTGGCCTTTCACTGACACATGGTCAGTTTACCAGGGCTACACTCTTAAGAGAAAAGTGACCCTCTCAGCAGCTGACAGTTGCCAGGAGCTCCTCAGATAGGGATGGGACTTTGTGCCCAGTTCCCCTCTCCATACTGGGATTTGTTCTGGCTTGGGCTTAATAAGTTTTGTGCATGTTGTCATACTCATTGTGAGTTCAAATGCTGTTCTTAGAGAGGACCTAGGTTCAGTTTCTGTCACAGAAATAATAATAAATCTTAAAAAAAAAAACAAAAAACCAAAACAGCCTTACATAGGAAGGAGAACACTAAGTGATTTTAATGTGTTTCCAGGCAACGCCAACTTTGCTGAGAAGATTTGGATGTGAGCTCATCAAGTCCACTGTCCTGTCAGAACACACTTCTCTGAGAGTGCTAGCCCTCGGTGGGGAAGCTTTCCCCTCACTGACTGTTCTCAAAAGCTGGAGAGGCAAAGGCAATAAAACACAAATATTTAACATTTATGGTATCACGGAGGTATCCAGTTGGGCGACTTTCTACAGGATCCCAGATGAGATTCTTAATTCTCCTGTGAAGTAAGGGCTCTGTTATAGTCACTAGGGTTTGTTTGGGGATGGCGGATGTACTTGATGCTGTTGAAGGTGATGGCCCATGCCTGCTAAGCACACCATCTGCCAGGAGCTCAATCCTAACCCTACTACTAACAGGATTTGTCAGGCACTGTCACGACAATTTTTAAAACACTGTTTAAAGTTAAGAATTAAAAATCTTTCTTATAATTGGTGATGAGATCCTGCCAGACCTTTTTGTGACTGAATCAGTAACATGTGTTAACCCTTTCGTCAAACTATTTCCTCAGGTGGTCTTTGAATTGTACCATAAACTGTTTTTGTCTTTATTTGCTGTAGTGTGCTTTTGATAACCTGGGAAGTCTGCTCACAGGTGAATTTTAAGCCTGCTGTGGGCTGTGTTTTCGCAGACATGAATCTCCTGTACAGCTGGGGTCTCCTCTACTTGGAACAGTGGTTGAAGTCAGAGACACTAATGGTTCCTCAGTTCATGAAGGCACCGGTCAAGTATTTTTAGGTTGGTTTATATTTCTTGGTTGAGTTTTCAAAAAGGAAAATCAGATGTTTCTTTATTCATTTCATGATTATTTTATGTAGAGTGCACTTTTCAGTAGTAAATTTTAATCTTTTCATAACCACGAGATATTTAGTGTTTATCCAAATTATTTCACATGTCGTTTCCAATAATTTAGAAACATAACTTGAAATGTTATTTGTAGACAAAACTATATCTAGCAGTATTCTAAGGATTTTCTAAAACTCCTATATACTTTTAGAAATAAATTAGTTGTAGGCTGGGCGTTGGTGGTGCACGCTTTTAATCCCAGCACTTGGGAGGCAGAGGCAGGTGGATCTCTGTGAGTTCGAGCCCAGCCTGGTCTACAGAGTGAGTGCCAGGACAGCCTCCAAAGCTATACTGTCTCAAAAAAAAAAAGAAAAGAAAAGAAAAGAAAAAAATTAGTTTTATCCTTTTACTAACTTCTTGAAATTACTGTGCCTAATTTTATCAGGTAGCATAGGCAGCATTTAGAAGTCTCCTAGTTTTATCCTTTTACTACTTGAAGTTACTGTGCCTAATTTTATCAGGTAGCATAGGCAGCATTTAGAAGTCTCCTTATTATAGTCTTAGTTACAGATTTTTAGAGGTACTTTAGTTTTGATGTTGTTAAATGGATTTGCTGTGGATTTTATGACATTGGAATTTGTGTCTTTGAAAGGTGGGGAAAACAGAGTATGTTTTCTTGATGATGAGATGACAGTGCCTCTCGGCACCATGCGAGCCACAGGAGACTTTGTGACTGTAAAAGATGGAGAGATGTTTTTCTTGGGAAGAAAGGACAGCCAGATCAAGCGTCATGGCAAACGTGTTAACATTGAGTTTGTACAACAGGTAGAGCCACTAAAAGATATGGAGCTGGGTGTGGTGATGCATGCCTGTAAACATCACACAGGAGGCAGAGGCTGAGGGTTATGAACTCAAGGGCAGCCTGGGCTATATAGCAGGATCCTATCTTTATATATAAAAAAAGTCACTGCCAGGGGTTGGTGGCACACACCTTTAATCCCAGTGCTCAGGAGGCAGAGGCAGGTAGATCTCTGAGTTCAAAGCCAGCCTACAAAGTGACTTCCGGGACAGCAAGGACTACACAGAGAAACCCTGTATCACAAAACACTAAAAAAAAAGAGAAGAGACAACATACAATTGTAATAAAAGGCATGGGTAATTCAATGTATCCCTTATTCATGTCAGGTAGATATTTTGTTTGTTTTGTTTTGAGGCAGAGTCTCTTTATGTAGTCCAGACTAGTCTGAAATTCCAAGTCCTCCTGCCTCAGGCTTCCTAGTGTTAGGATTACAGGTGTGACTCCCCAAGCCTGGCTTGAGATGGCCATTTAAAAAAGAAGGTTTTGTTTTTGTTTTTGTTTTTTTGTTTTTTTTTTCTAGATAGAAGTTTTCTGTGTAGACCTGGCTGTCTTGGAACTCACTTTGTAGACTGGCCTGGCCTGAAATTCACAGAGATCCACCTGTCTCTTTGTCCTTAGTGCTGGGATTAAAGGTATGCAACACCACTGCCCAGCCTAGATGGCCATTTTTAAAATAAGTAAGGGGTTGGAGAGATAGATGGCTCAGTGGTTAGAGTGCCTACTCTTCTTGCAGAGGACCCAGCTTTGCTTTCTGGCACCCACATCAGACAGCTTACAACCTTTTTCTGTAACTCCAGTTGCAGAGAATCCAACACCCTCTGGCCGCAGAGGACCCAGCTTTGCTTTCTGGCACCCACATCAGACAACCTTTTTCTGTAACTCCAGTTGCAGAGAATCCAACACCCTCTGGCCTCCTCCAGCACCTGAATTCACATGGTGCACAAAAACTCACAGGCACACATGCATAAAAATAAAGAAAGGAAGTAACCTAAGAAAATACGTTGGTTTATTTGCTTTGGAATGTTGTGTTTTTGTTTTTTTTTTTTTTTAATGGTAAACTCTGTTAGTAGTAGATACCAATAGCAAGCAATTAAAAAAATCTCAGGTATTTTCTGTAAGTTAATTCCCGATTTTAGACATAGCAAATCTGAGCATTCAGGAGCCCTTTTCTAGATGTCCCCATTAGTAAATGAGGTATCTCTCTTACAGGTGGCTGAGGAACTTCACCAGGTGGACTCCTGTGCGGTTATGTGGTATAATCAGGAAAAGTTGATTCTCTTCGTTGTAGCCAAAGTTGGTTTATTAAAGGACCACATCTTTAAAGAGTTGCAGAAACACCTTCCAACTCACGCCCTTCCAGATGACATGGTGTTGATTGACACTCTACCATTTACATGTCATGGTAAAGTGACTTAAAGCAGATGTGTTAAGTGTTGGAGAACACTAATGGTACTCAGATCTGTTTAACAGCTACAAATGTACTATTATGGTACTAGCACTAATTACAGTAGACCCCTGTAATTGCTTTGTGTAACTAACTCATTCCTGTTGAGAGACTCCTGTGGGCTGATGGTATTCTGATTTGCAGATAGGCAATTTTTCCCCAGTTCATTGTGCTGAGTATTAATTACTTGTGCATCCCAGGACAGTACCTCACAGAAAAAAACTTAAGGAAGGAAAGAGTTGGGCTCATGGCTGCATAGTGTGTCTATTGTCTACCATGGATGGGAAGGCGCAGAGAGCAGCTCATATCAGGCTGTCTGTCTGTCTTCTTTCCTTTAGTCCCTCTGTGCACCAGCCCATATTCAGGGATGGTTCTCCCTGCTTCATTCATCCTCCAGAACATTCTCACCCAGGGGTGTCCCTCAGCCCTTTAGGTGACTCTGAATCCAGTCGGGTTGGCCATGAAGGTCAGCCATCACAGCTAGTCAGGGGTTGAATTTTTTAGGGGTCACCAGAGAAACAGAACTAATGTTTAGATGGATATATAAAAATATTGTAGGGAACTGACTGATGTAGATCAAGAGGCTGAGAAGTTTTGTACTATGACTGCAACTATCTTCCTAAGAAAGCTGGGGTTTTAGTTCTGAGTTTTGAGCCTGAAAAATGGGAGCCAGTGGTTTAAGCCCTGCAGGCACGGCATCTCTGTTATAATTTAAAAAAGAAACGGTGGGAAGGAGTCATACTATAAAACAGGGAGATTTATTAGAAGAGGAGAGGGAAAAGAGCGGGGGGTGGGGGGGCAAGGACTGGTCCCTGGGGATGAGAGAGAAGGAGAGAAAGAAGCAAACAGAAAGACAAAGAGAAAGAGACAGGAGGCAAGCAAGGCCCACTTCTTAAAAGGGAACATAGTGAATATACACAGGTGGTGCTCTTAGTGGCTGCAGCTGAGGATGTATCCTGTTAGGGCAGGCCAGTGCAGGTGCCAAACTACTAACAATTTCCCAACACACACAGTGAGGAGGTTAATTCCAC